TATGTAGACATCGAAAACATATTCGCTGGTCGCGAGCCCATTTATTACGCAACTCATGCGACCAACCCTTAAACTTTGAACATAAAGACAGATCATGAGTACCCTCGCAACATTTACAAGGTTGTGATACATGAGATGGGTTGCTGCTCGTAACCACGGAAGTATGCAGTGACGATGTGGTGGCACCATCCGATTGCCCTTCCTTCAAATTGCTCCCTTCTTCAAGACGCTCAGAAGGTCCAACCGGATGCAATAGTGAATGGTGACATCGGGAACATAGACTGCATACGATTTTAGACCTACAAATTGATGCCCAGTGTCCCGTATGTAGACATCGAAAACATATTCGCTGGTCGCGAGCCCATTTATTACGCAACTCATGCGACCAACCCTTAAACTTTGAACATGAAGTCAAATCATGAGTACCCTTGCAACATTTACAAGGCTGTGATACATGAGATAGGCTGCTGCTTGTAACCATGGAAGTGTGCAACGACGTCTTCGACTCATGCGGCTCACCCTTGGTAGTTTTGTAAGAATCTGTTGGTTTCGATGTAGGTTCTCGAGGAATACATTCTAATATGGCCATGCGTAACTTCATAAACCTCAACAAATCTTGCACCGTAGGAAAAGTGTTGTCTAATTGAGCCTCAAATAACTTGATGCTGTCCGTGGGTAGACACCGAGATGCTATGGAAAACAATATAAAATCAGCTAAATTTGGTATTTTCATGGACTCCAGCAATGACAAACTTTCATCGAATACAGTCAATACTTTATTTAACTCAACTGAAGTTTCAGAAGTAGCGCGCGGCGCACTTAACAATTTTTCAATTATTGAATATGCCAACAGACCTGGTTTGTCAAATCTTTCCTGAAGTGTGGACCACGCCAATTTATAATTCTGGTCTGACACCGGTATGCTTTGAATAGTTTCCAAGGCAACCCCTTCACAACATCCTACTAAGTAGTACAATTTTTCAATGTCGGACAAAGTCGTTCGACGATCCACCGTTTCCACAAACCGATCACGGAAAGAAATCCACTCATATATATTTCCATGGAACGTGGGCAACAGAATTTCAGGTGAGCGGGTAGAATTGATAACTTGAAAGCCACTAGATTCTAGAGAATCTGAGTTATTTGATTGGGAGTCGTGTGAACTGGCTATATGAGTGTCATCCACCATATGGTCATCAATTTGTGGGTCCTCCTTGTTGGCATTGCTCAACATTTGTGAATCACCGTGTACAGATATTGTTGATTGCATAAACTGACTGACGGTCATTTGTATAAAGGAAACCAATTCGAACATTTCAACGAACTCCGTTTTAGAATATTCATTACCAAGCTCCAAATCCAATAAAAGTTGTAACAGCGTTTCATCTTCAGCGTTAAACGAGGACAACAATTGATCAAGTGTTTCTACCATATCCAAAAGCTGAGGCACTACAGACGAGTCCTCCACACTACGGACGGCTAAACTGTAAACTGAGCGTATTCTATCCATGCAACTCATACGTCGGATTTCGCAACGCTGTTTCAGCAGCTGGACCCGCTCTTTGTCATCGCCTAACATCATAGTGACGGATTTTGGTGGAAATAGAGAGAAGAAAAATAAATTAAATTCTGAAAGCAAAATAAATAATTAGGTACATTAAACACCGCGCTTTTACGTGAAATAAGAGTTTAAAAATGATCAAACACACAAAAAAAAAAAAATAAATACACTTACAATCGTAAACTTATTCTAATTTAGGAACGCCCATAGATCCTAATCGGTATAAGAAAAAAATTGAAGTAACCACGTCCTGCTACCAAAAAATTTAACACGAACCACTACAGTCAACCCAGAGGTGAAGTTGATCGATTCGGGTACAGTTCAAAACTTTACTAAAACTTGAGTTAATCCTACTTATCTATTCTAGACAACCACAACATCGATCACAGGAAGAAAGTGCAATGTTTAGGTTAGGTTAAACCCTTTTACAATGAAAAAAAAAAAACACGTAGGGTTTTATAAATTGATGATGGGCCCAAAGCACTGCCGTACTATTAGGTTAACAAACATTAAATAATAATAATCAGTTACACTACAGAAACGAGGGAGAAAAGGGGCGCCCTTTAACTAATAATAAAAGGTATGCATGTATAATTGATAAGAAAAAATAATACACAGTCAAATCTAAAAGACAATAATATGATAATATTTACAATAAACACTGTTGTATCAGTGCTGGCAACCCGACGCTGACGGCAACCCACTGATCCTCGCAAATATCGGTCGGGGAAAGAGTTGTTCACTCGGCGATCACTCTCCGGGATTATTTACCACCGAAATATCTGACCGTGGTAGGTAAAATCCCTCGTCGGAGGCGAACTGGGACAACCGTCGTTGGAACGATTAATATACCGCACGGAAAAGACACACAACGTCGAGCGATACAAATAACGGGGAGTCTGGCACGCAACACACAAACGGCGGCCGCAAAGTGAATCCGTCCGACTTTCGACGCGTTCACCAGGCACGATGGTAGTCCCACCAACGGGACGACGGGACACGATACAATGGGTGCGACGACACAACGCGGCCAACGTACTCCGCAACAAGCAACCTCGTATTCGAAACGTATCGAATAGGCGTCGCACTACACTCGGACGAAACGCACCGTCGGGTCAGACGACGAAATACAGCGAGAACGCAAAATAAAAACGTTACAACGGCTTGTCACAGGCAACTGGCCGCGGGTTCACTTGGCGGAGATGGAATGCACTAGGTCGTTGTCGGTGAAAGAAGCGGTGGACCGGGGGGAAGGATATGTTATCGAATATTCTCGGTCATGCTAAGGAGCCAAAATAATAAGAGAGGGGGCCAACCGGTGGACGTTTTCTATTGATAGGCTGTTATCACAGCTTATGGACGCCATATTCCGTCCAAATAATCTGATTGAGTATAGTCATTTTATCTATTGTTGTGTCTAGTTTACTAATTTTCTTTACATTATTTCACTAAATATTTTGTAATACATAATACATAATAAATCGTATGATAATGCTTGCTTGCTGTGTATTTGGTTGCCAAAATCGTACTGAAAACGTGTATAAATGTGGTATATATATTGTCTCAATGTATTTATACCGATACCATTGTTGATGTATTTGCAGAATTCAATAGATTTATAACATTAAATTAAAAAAATCGAATAACAATTATTTCATTAAGTCTTAATAAAATACTTATATATATATATATTATGTACCTAGGTAGTTTTATATTATATTCAATAAAAAAAATATAACATAAAATGCGTACCTTAATGCTATAACAATATATCTATTTTGTACAATTTTTTTATAACATATTATTTTCAACACGATTATAATAATTTATATGGTTGTATTTACTCAGCTGTTAATTGATTTTTTTAAGTCCATTTTGATACTGATCAATGGAAAATAATAAGGGCAGATGGAAAAAAATAATTTTAAAGTGTTTAATGTGCCAACTTGCTTTTCTTATCTTCCACCTTAAAAAAAGAAAGAAAATCTTCCATAAAAAGCTTTTGTGTACACCAAGTCCCATAAAGAAATCAAGAAAGTCAATTTCAAATCATTCATATGGTACTAAAAAAACCTTTTTTATAGTGATGAAATTGTAAACAGAAAAATATTAAGTGACTCAAAAGAACAATTACTACAACAAATAAAAAATATTAAAAAAGAATCATTATGTCGGGGAAAAGTTATAGAAATTTAGGTAAAAAAAATATTAATACAATTAATAGCTCTTTAATTATTAAAACCAATAACACAAAATCAAATTTCATCTCTTAATTATAATAATAAAAAAGAATTTTTTTGGTCTAGTAACACTATACAAAAAACATTAAGACTTAAATTTGCATATGAATCTGTTGGTTATGAGGAACTACTTCATCAACAATATCATATTCCTTCTCTAAGAAATCTTTGTGGCAAATTACAAAACATATTTTTTTAGAGTTTTTTTTCATTTTAAATAAAATTTTTAAAATGCTTGCAATTAAGGTTTCTACAATGAATGATAATTTAAAAGAGTGTATTCTTGTATTAGATGAGATGTTTCTTGTTGAATGTGTATCATATGATGTTTCATTAAAATCATTTATTGGTAATGTAACTTTGCCTAATCACAATGGTGTTGCAAACCATGCTTTAGTGTTTATGTTAACTGGTATTTTGAGTCGTCAGAAGCAATCAGTTGCATATTATTTCACGAGTGATGTAGTAAAAGGCAATACTTTTAAACCAATAATAATTCAGATTGTCATAAAAGCTGAAGAACTAGGACTTAAAGTAAATTCAGTTACATTTTATATGGGAGCATGTAATAGAGCGATGTGGACAAGCTTTGTAATTCATTGTTTACCCGCACACCTACAGAACAATATTTTACACCCCTGTGATCCTGAATGTAAGAAGTTATATTTTTTACTAGATGTGCCACATCTACTTAAGAACATAAAACAAGCATTATTTAACAATAAGTTCATTAAATTACCTAAAGAAAAAGTAGAAAAAATTCAACTTAACATGTAATATTGTAAATTGCAAACATATTGAACAATTAGTTAACTATCAAAATAATTTTGAATTAAAAGTAGTTTGAAAATATGATGCAGATGACCCTCAAAAATCTAATCATTTTGATAAAATTAAAGTTTCAAAAGCAGCTAATATTATAATCACAGAAGTAAGTGCAAGCTTATAATTTTCAGTTGACCATGAAAATTATCATTCTTCTTACAAAACAACAGCTTGGTTTATACAACAAGTTTCCGAGTGGTTTACTTAGATGACTTCTAAAAATCCCACTGTAGCTTTAAGTAAATTAACCTAGAGAAATATGATGAAACCATACAATTTTTATTTGATTTTATAGATTTGTTCTAAAATATAATAATTGGGACCAAAGGAACGTGCAAACCCTTCCAAACTGGTGTATTATTAACCACAGTGTATTACTGAATCACAAAATATTTTTCTCAATAACAAATCTTACAAGTTTCTTCTCATTGAAAGATTTTCTCAAGTTTGTCTCAACTTGTCTTTGTGTATTTGAAGTGTTCAACCATTTCCAAATGCCATACAGTTTAATAGCAATTTGGAACTTGTCTGTATAGCTCAATTTCTAAAAAAATGTATCCAACAGTATCTATGATCAAGATGACAGAGAATTTCTTGGTGCTCTATTAGATTCTCTTCAAGTTAAGCCTGTATTATTAGATCTATCGAAAGAAAAACCTGCCTGAATTATGCAACACCTTTGATGAAACTGAACAACTAAAATTAACAAATACTGAACAAAATAGTTTGTATAATATAGTAGGTATTTCATTTTTAAATCGTTAATGTCCATCCTTGATTGTTTTTATTATTAATTATTATTATTATTAAAATTAATTAATATTACTATGATATTAAATTAAATATTGTATTATTTTTTCATGTTGCTGACCTTTAGATTATATAATATCAAGAATAGAAAATAATGATAAAATTTGTGATAACTGCATTAAATCAGTATATTCTTCTAAGCCATTGAAAACCAATTATTCTGCTTTTGTTTAAATTAAAAAATACAAAACTGGCTGCTTAAAATGTGTAACTCAAGAATGTTTTCAATTTTTTTCTTAATATGGAAATAATGTTTAAAAAATATATTATTTAATTTTAAAGAATAAAAGAAAAATGTTTATAAAAATATTGTCACTTAAATGTTGTATTTTCCATTTTCTGAATGTCATCCAATTAAATCAAAGAAGATTATTCGTTTTATAGATTTTATATGTAAAAGTTTAGGAACACTTTTTACCAAAAATATTAAAAAAAGTGACTCATCTCAAAGCTAGTATGAGTATTGTTATGCAAAAAGCTGTTGAAACAAAATGTTAAATGTTTGTAAAATATAAGTAGTGATTATATATGTTTTTGTTTTTTATTGTTAACTTTTCTACAAGAAATCTTCCTCCAATCATAAAGTGTAGTACCTTTTCTGATTGCCATTTTTTTGGTAGGTATTCAGTGGATAAACTTGTTAGACTACTATAATATTATAATATTATAAAAAATGTAAAATATGTATAATTGAACTTCACTCTAAATTGTTTTTCGTAAATAATGGTTTATCGTTGCTTGCAGATATCAATAATTTTCAATGTATATCCTATCTTCCCAACTTCTCATCTACAACAGTGATCTATCCATTGTGTGTCCGGGCAGTATGTCTGTCTTTTACATATTGGAGTTCAACAATTTATAAAAATATAAGCCATAATTTATAGTTTATATAATTTATTAACAAAATAATTATATAAATAAGAAAAAAATATTATAAATAATTATCATTATTATTTTCGCAAACAAATAAATAGTTTACAATAAAATCTCTAAAACTAACATTTTCAGTTAAGGTAAATATTAAATATAATTATATTATATCATATTCAAAATGTAATCATTTTATGAGAATTTATATTCAAACATCAAAAAGGCGCAAACATTTTGGACGAAAAATGGCTGCAATATACTCAGATGGCCACTCTTTCATTACCTAGGTTCCCTAGGTCATGCCATCTATTATCTTATAGACTTGACCGATGGCAATTCCAACCGATAAGGCGTGAATTGCCCCGCACGATTATAAATAGCGCAGATTTCCGACAGTAGAAATAGCATTTTAGATTCGGCTTCTTAGCAAGGGATCTGTCGGTTTAACTACTTATGTGTTTTTTCCAGATTGTAAACGGTTGTAAAAAACTATTCAGGACCAGAATCTTACTCCAATCGAAAAATGACAAGATACTAGATAGATAGGTACTGATTTGGTTGTATTTCGGATCTACTCGGTACATTTTTTCATTTTCCAAGGCGTTTTCAACGCGATTCGAAAAAAAACCGGAAAACAAATTAACGGAAAAACTACAAATGTTTACGGCGCGCCACGACGTTATCGATTTCATTGTTTTTAATTTTTGCAAACTACGTTTTCGACCATAAATATTGATCCACGGCAAGAGACCTTTATTATTGAATTTTGGATCTTGTTGCTCATGAAGAAAGTAGGTTTTTTTTAATAATCGAGTTATACAGAGAAAAAAAAAGTGAAAAAACGGGAAAATTCCCAAAAATAATACTTATGTTATTTTCAATTTTGTTTTTTTATTGCAATTCAGCTGTATTTGTAGTAACTTGCAATTTTGACAAAATACTTATATTTGCCTTTCTGGACGTGATAAAATGTTCAAATTGTTGAACTATTTATGGCCGTTTTAATTTTGCGAGTTTCGTACGTAATTTGTACTGGTAGATAAAATTGTTCGACTAAACAGAAATGCTTGACAATTATACGGGACGTTCATTATACGTCGTATTTGGTGGTCAAACAAAATCTAGTGTAATGTAGTATTTGTTTTTTCTTATAAATGTTGTAATATACAATTTTCACGAAAATTTTAAATATTACGTTTCAAAACACGTATAACCAAACTTCGATCTAAATCGTTTTTCGTTATCAATGATTTATCGTTGTTTATAAGTAGTAATCAAATAACTTCATGTAAGTATCCTACATTTCCGATTTTCCACCCACGGCAGGATCAAGAAATTTCGCGCCTCGGAGCATAAGTATGTTTAAACCTCCCTAATAAGATTAAGGACTATTTTTATGAGCATAAATAGATTTATTTATTAATATTGCACAATAATTACAATTTAACAAAATAATAATAATAAAAGAGAAAAAATTTGTTTCCAAAAGCCTGAATATGTAGGGAGACAAGAGTTCATGTTTCTTAAATTTATGTAATATACATATACCTATCATCATCATTTACAAATTTAAAAACAATTAAAGATGAAAATAAAAAGATAACAATGTGGTATTAAATTTTATAAACATGATTAAAATTGAAGTTCAATTAATTAATTAAAATTATTATAAAAAATAAAATATTGGGTAAATTACGTGAGTAGATTATTTTTGTTAATTATAATATTTTAAAAAAAATGCTGTCCTTGATTTTTGTTTAGCAAATTAGTACATGTTTGAAGTATAAACAAAATACAGCAAACCATTTTTTTTAACCACATCAATATTAATATTTAATACAATTTACTTATTTATTTTTTTTTACAGCAACTATATTGCCAGACTAAGGTCTAAAAAATGGCTAGGAAAATATTGATTTTGCTGTCTTAGACGTAATTTTCAAATAAAAAAAAAATATTTGGGTATAGGTACCTACAAACAAAATAAATAATTTAATAATAATTTACACAAAATATAAAATCTGAGACACAATTTATAGTGACATCATATATTAGATTTTGCACAATAACAGCGCCTATCAAGTCCAAAATTTAAAATATATGTATGTATGTATCATATTATCATATTAACAAAATACAAGATAAATGAAAAAGTTGAACACAAAATAGCTTCACGATTTGATTTAAGGGTAAGGTATTAAATCGATAAAAAGTAAATTTATATAATTGTAATTTGTATGCCATTAATGAAGGTAGGTAGGTACCAAATTTTACTACGAAACTGACTTTGTTTTTTATTACTACTTAATAAATTTAATGATATGACCCATTTTTAGTGCAATGTTTTACCTAAAATGTATAAAACTTCCATACTATAAATAATAATGATTAACTAGTAGAAAATACAAGAATCTAAAAAAATTATGAATAGAAAGTGAAAAAATAATATGAATTTTCATTTTTATTATAATAAAGGCCAATTTATTTATTTATTTTTGATATTGCTCAATTCGTGTTTCATTCAATGAGCATATTATGTTCAAAACCAATTATAATAAATTCAAACTTCCGTTTTCAGATAAAAAACTAATTTAATCTAAAAATAAATTTATAGAATACTTACAAAACAGAAGAATGCATACACTTTACATTCTCATAGTAACCTACCAAGAATTTATTGGTTCAAGGGATTGAGATCGTCAACCATTTTCAAAGTAAAAAAAAATTAGCACTTTCAACACAGGCGACAGCTTTGAAATGAATGAGCCTTTGAACTTTAAGTGAAGGTGTAAGAAGTCTTTTAAACTTCTGACCGTATACAATATAAATGTTGTCATTTAACAATGTACCACCATAGGAAACAAAATATTTTATTATTGTATACACAGCTTTGTGGTTTTTAGTTTATTTTTAATAGATACAACTTTAACAAAAACACATCTCACTTCCGTAAAAAATATATTTTGTATTATTATGAATTAATGTAATTTGAAGAAGTCACACTATAAAGTTATCAATGTTGAATAATTTGTGACAACAAATACCAATAAAATATTAAATTCCAAGGCAAAAATATTTGAATACATTAAATTATACACTCGAATCTTAGGTGTATAAAACTAAAAAAAAAATAACAATATGTAAAAACACTAGTCGAAAAACCAATTTATTTATGTCGTTCAAATAATGTCCTCAGACATATTCCACTATACATGTTGTTGAATGCAATCAGTCATATTAGGTTCTTTTTAACAAAATATCTGTTTTGGTTTTTAAAAGTTAAATTTAAGTGCAAATAAGAATCATGAACAAAAAAGTTGAGAAAAACCAAATCATATTTCCTGTATTATTAATTGTTAGAATTGGAATCTAGTCATAGGGACACTTTGATCCCTAAAATCGAACTGCTCAACTCCTTGTTCAGATTCTTGTACAGAGGGTGCAATACGAGGATCGTCCTCTTCAGAACCAAAGTAACGTTCAATAATTCCAAAAGCTTTCTGATATATTTCAATATTTTCATGCGATTGTAAAAATTCTATTTTATCCAGACCATAGCATTCTTCTAGTTGTACAGCATATTGATTAACAGCATTAGATTGTCTAGCTAACTGTTCTCCTAATTTAAGAATATTTTCTAAACCATTTAAAGCCACTTGAATAATTTTCACATCTGTTACTGTAAGGAGATCACACAACGGAGGGATACATTTCTAAATAAAAAGATAAAAAGAAAATAAATAATAAAAGAATAATTGTTTTATTGATAAAATATACCTGTTCAACCAAATGCTGGATTTGTTCTTGCGTTCCCCCAGATGTTGCATTTGTAATGGCCCACGCAGCTTCTTTTCTCGTCTTAAACTCTGCTGTAGCCATAATATGAATAAGTGCTGGGAATATGTTTTCATTTAAAACAGCCTGTAAATACACATATCGTACAACTATTAAAATGGTTTTTCTGTACTTTTAGTTAGTAATTACTATTCATACTAACAAATAAATTATTTTTAAATGATTCTGCTTGAAGTCAATTAAAATTAAATCTATACTACAGCAATAAAACAAATTTATTTGAAGGTGGGAGTTAAGAATGCAGGATATAGAGTAATTTAACAAAAAACGACTGAGCGAAGTTTGATTAAATATGTTATGAATGCTATAATTTTTACGATTTTCATAAAAAAATCAATGTACGAGTAATAAATATACTAGCCAATATTAATAATATTTATTTCTAGTTGTTGGTCACTCACCTTTATGGTACTTAAAATAAGTACCTACAATGGTGGTTGTTTAGAATCACAAACATTTAAAATAAATTTACAATCTGTAATTTGAATATTATAATAAGAAGACGTGATAAAAAATAAGTTTAGGCAGGATTGGGAAGCTGCCCATTGTTGGCGAAAAAAAAATTATTGTTAACCAAATGAACAATCATAATTAAATGGATGAACAGACAACAAAGGAACATTTAAGGTATTTAAATTTATGTAAAGAATCCAAAATGGTATGTTGCATGTTTCAAGAATAAACGAAAACAAAGAGCAATTATATATTTATTATTGAAGTCCTTATTATTTTTAAATAAACCCTTATTACATCACTACAATGGATTGTTAGTTTATTAATAAATTACCTACTTGTATTTGATTTTTATTTCCAGCAGTAATATTAGATATTGTCCAGCAAGCTTCTTTACGAATAGTTTCTTTGGGCGAGCCCAACAAGCTTAGCAAACAAGGTAAAACTGAACAGTTTAAAACTACTTGTGTTTGAGCATCGTCACCAGTTACTATATTACCAACTGCTCGCAAAGCGGCAGAAACTACATTAGTTTGTGTGTGCCTTAAACAGTAGTAAAATAATTAGCATCTCCTTTTGTTCTTATTCAATAAATAGATAACAAATTATTATAACTCACATTAATAATTCAACTAAGGTCGGACAAACTCCANCATCAATTACGGCTTGAATTTTTTCATTTGGACCATCAGATAAATACGATAGAGCCCAACAAGTATCTGCCAAAACATCGGCATCGGAGTTATTTAATAAGTCAGCTAAAACCGGCAAAGCAGGTGATACCATCGAAAAATCAGGTGGTGGCACTTTTCCTCGGCATAAATTGGATACGGCCCACACCGAATTACGAGTCATTGATAAACGGGAACAGTTATCTAGCAACCTACGGAAAAAAAAATGAACATACAAAACCTATATAATTGATAAAAATATTAATTATATTAATATTAAACAAAATAGTCTTCATCTCTTTTTCCATTCAATCTATTTAGATTCAGCAACCCTTATCATAAGCTTTCACTCGACCTCATCATCCTCACATACATCAAGCATCCTTATATCACACTCAATCACATTCAACCACTTCTGTTCTGATCTTCCTCTCACCCTCCTTCCTCCTACTTATTTACTACTATATAAAATGTTTTATTTTTATATTTTCAAAATGTATAAATTAATTCAGACTAAAGAATTAATTGTTACTTTAATAATGGTTCCATAATGCCCATGTTTAAAACATAATCACGACACATCGGAGAATCACCGGCAATATTTCCTAAAGCCCAAACTGCTTGTTCTTGTACGTCTTCATGTGGTGATTCTAACAAAAATATAAATACTGGAACAGCATCAGCTTCCATTACTTTACGTGTCTGTTCCGAAGTTCCAGAAGCAATATTTGTCAAAGCCCATGCCGCTTCAAACTAACAAATTAAAATGTGTAATTATTTCTAAGAAAGTTATAGAACAAATAATAACTATATACCTGCAAATGGCTATTGGTTGCATTTTTCAAAAATTCTACAAATCGTGGAATTACACCAGTATTAATTACATCATCAATGGGAGGATTTGGCTCAGAAGACAATAATTTCCTAAATTTTTGGGTCGCTCTTAACTGATCTTCTTCATTAATGCTATACAGATGTTTGATAAGTTCTTCATTAATATTAGACCATTCGGATAAGTTATTCGGTACAGCCGACTATAATTACACAATATATTGAAAAAAAAAAAAAATATAAATTAAGAAAACAAAAATATTAAAATAAAAAAATATATATACATATATATATGTATAAGAATTATAATGTAGAGTAATAAATTTGCATAATTATTGATGTTCTTATATTAGTTATTTAATCATAATAATTGATAATTATCATAACCATGTTTAGACTTTGTATTGAAATAAAATTTATTTTAAGAATTGCATCTAATAGGTATTCCAATCAAGCAGATAAAAATACTACCGCAAGGTTTCATTAATTCAATATTAATTATGTACTTAGGAATGGAACATTTTTAAAACAATTACAACTGTTATATAATAACGGTAAAATGTTAGGTTAGAAATGGATAAAGGGATTGAAATGAAATTATATATAATAAAAGTTGCATTATAAATGAATATGATTTGATTGACAAAAGAACAGACTCACGAACAATATATACAGGCTTCATGAGTGCCATTACTACGCGAATTGCCTTCAACTTAAATCACTGTACTCACGTCAATATCGTCGCTTTGAATTGTCTCATTTATATTTCGTCTTTTGAAAAGCTGAATGTCCCTTTTTTGCTTGCGCAACTGAATACCTTCTTCTTCACGTCTACGACGTAACTCCTTAGAGTCAACACCTTCATTTTTATACCTCATTCTGTGCGTATTGGACATGGTTACAAGGGGTCTACGATAGTACCTGATCAAAAAAACAAATTATCAAATGCCAACGTTAAAAATGCCAAATTCAACTTTTGATGATTCGACATTTAAGGTTAAGTGATGGATTTTATAAACATGCGTAATACTATGAACTATTTAATAATATTGGCGGCCGACAAACTTACGATAAAATTGCGATACGTCTAGACTGCGGACAGTAGCGTCGGTCCGGGCGGTATGATGGCTGACTGCGAAAATCCAAAAACGGATTTGGTCCGAATGAATTTTACTGAAATCGGTGCGGTTAACACGCAGGAATATCACGGCAATGTGTAATCATAATATCACATCAAAATAAATAAATAAAAAACAAAACCGGGCAATGCGGAGGGAAAATTCGTGGCGGTTAGGCGGGAGCGGGAGCGAGTGAGCGCGGCAAGACCTTGGGAGCACGGGCAAACAGCTGTGCGCGAGTAATAACAAAGGAATGCGTCGTTTTTATCCTCTTTGAGTTCAGGCACTCTGCCGAGGCGCCAACTGGGTTTCCCGTCGTCGCCATTATTCACCGAACACTGCGCGTAGGTATCGCACTCGCGTCCTGGCATTGACGTTACCGTTTGTTCTATGGAACAGTCTCGTTGTAATTTACGGACGTTCCCCTAACGCCACGGCGGTATCTATTCCGTGGCCACTCGCCACGACCGTCGATGCGCCGCACGCGTTCTACGCCTTGTATTTAATGTTTACGTCAGAGATTCGGGACGACAACACCCGTCACGTAGCCGTAATATTACGTAGGTAATAGCTGGTGTACCGAGATACCACGTACTATTGAAATTATTTACAAGCGTACGCCGCAAAACAGCTCTCTTGTAGCGTTTGCATTTTATAGCAGAATTCGCGTTTATTTAGTACCTATATGTTTGTTTTCGACGGTCATTGTTCGCCAAAACAATTGTGTATTCGATAATAAGCAATTCGATTTTTTATGCTACACGGGTATCGCAGAAACAAAATAGAACACGCTATTTGCCGATAAAATAAAACAAAATATTAAACCGACACCGGTATCAATGGCGCAACCTTGACGTTTATTGGAGAGGGGCGTCCAGACACTCAAAATATCGTCGTCCCACTGATCGATGTCTATACAAACCATTCGACGATCAATTTTTATTATTAACATACCGTTGGTCACAACACACAAATGATGCGCCACAAGTCCACTGTTCCTTCTCTACTTGCAAAACAACCAGATCAAAAGTTTGATGGGTTGACTGGACAATTTAACAATTTGTCGGTTACACGGAGTACTAATGTTTCCCAGCATTTTAAAAAATTAAATTATTTTTTAATAATATAAAATTATAAATAAATAGATAATAATGATTTTATAAGTTCACATAACACAAATTGACTGTAGTGTTCCAAGGTATACGATAATAATAATAACGCAAAAAAAGTTTTAATCTATAACAATGGTCTTAAGGATTTTATGTAGTTATAAATTATTTGTATAATATAGAATTTCTGTATGGGTTTTCTATTACAAGTGCAAAACTGATTTTATTTGTTTGCTAATTTGTAAATTATATTATGTACAGCCAAAATTGTTTAACTGAAACTCAAATTTTAAAGGACTAATGGACAAATACACTTACATATGCATATTAGGCATCAAAAATAACAGTATTCAAATACTTGATTTTTTAAATATTTTTGTTATTTTGTATATATTGCGAAAAAGTAATTGGAGGAATATTAGAGATACCCACAAGAATAATATCAATTACGTAGAGAAAAAGATATAACTGTGTATGATTTGAACTTATTGACAATAAATATTACATTTTTTTTTTTAAATTTAAACCGATAGCAGTGGGGATTGGGTTAAATTTTCACAATACTTCCGTACACAATAAATATTACTTACGCATTCTTAATATGGTATACTGTACACAAATATTAATTTCGAACCTCTATTACGCTAGTATAATTGATGTGTTTTAGTATAAATTATTAGGAACGTATTTGTTCACGATTTTGTTAGAAAACAAAAATATAAAATAATAATTAAGACGTTTTTTTTTTTAAAAAATTATTTGATAAATTACTTATTTAATAAAAAAATTTAATACTGAAACTAATTGATAACTAATATAGACGGGCACTCCAAATATGTACACAAGCAAATAAGACGTACAAACCAATATTTGTAGTGTTTTAAATACTAATTATACTTTATAACATAAAGGATATTATTTTATATTAATTATTAACTGTATACATATTACATTTTTTAAAGAGAAAATAATCATGTAACAAAATGTTATTCCAAAATTAAAAAATAGAAACAGTAAGAAAACATTTAGACCTTAATGTACAAATCACAAATATAACAGGCATTTGATTGATCGATTTGTAAAACTTACAATGTTTTAATCAGAATTAGAATATTTTCAGATGGTCGATTTGTATAAATTAAATTTAAGTAATAGTAATCTTATTTGTAAAAATTACAATTATTTGTTGTGCACAGACTACTAATAAAATAAATTTTATTATAATTTATTTAGGTACCTACGTAAATATACTATACTTTTGTAAAGGACCCAATAATTAATTTGAAGAATATTAATGTTATAATAGCAACGAATAAGTTATTAAAAAATAATTAAAAACCATTATTTTTATAAATACAAAAAACAAAAACAGAAATTTAAATAGTACAAATAATGATAATATAATAATAATAATTTTAAAAAAAATCCCTCAGTAGTTCCGTACAATGTTAGGAATTTAATTTCCACTAAGGCGTACACAGTAAATTTCAACTAATAGGTATTAATGACATTGCTAAAAAAAAAAAAAATGTAGGTATCTACTTTTTGTTTGCTTTAACAATTTTATCGTTGTAACTCAGGTAATTAACGCCAAAGGCTGTTAACGCGTAACCTGAAACTAAACCAGCAAATGTAGCTAGACTCGAGTTATTCGGCAATAAACTACGTAGAATAGCCCACGTCAATACCGACCCCATGTTGAACAAAACAGCTCCGTACACGCTAAACATTTGAAAATATTTAATTATTATCGATGACAATGTTTGCAGTAAGTAATGCCATAGCGAAATGGTTCTGGTTTTACCTAAATACAATGCGATCTTTGAGAGGTGCTTCACTGAGATGCGGGCGTCCATAAATGTATAGGGCAGATCCCAGACAAGAGTTCACTAAGAAAATATTTGTGAGTTCCGGTTTGGGCAACACTCTGAATAACACCAAGAACATTGTTAATTATTTTTATTCTCGTGAAAATATTATGTTTATTGATTGTCTGTTAGCTACTCTACCTCTGTATGAGTCCGGGGTTCATTACGTTGATCGACAAAAGCGAGTAGTTGAATGCGCCGAACGCCGGGAAATAAAAATGTTTCGCCGATTCTTGGTTTACCGGTGGCGGTCTGTAGCTAACGATCGATTGAACCAACGAAGGATTCTCACTCGACGCCATTTTAACAGCGACGCGGAAAGAACGGGATCGATGGACGGCGCGTACACGGGCGGTGGGGTAGGGCAGTTCGACGAGTGTGCGAGATGCGTCTAGAAGACGGGTGAAATGCGACAATGGAACGCAAATGAAAAGCGACGGGAACGGACGCGGCACGCGAATTCCGGCATAGAGTGGACGGCGCACGAAAACGATAGGGGTCGGAGGCAGCGATACGCGGGTGGCGGACAGCCGCGGTGACGAATGAAAATATTAAGGCAGGTACAAATTCTTATCACGGTACCAGTGTACCGATAACGCACGGTTACCCGTTCGAGTCGTCCCGGGACGGCGATAGGCGGGCGCGCCGCCGGGACGCAGTACCGTACGTTGCCGTTATCCGTCGCGGTTGGCACCGTTGATAACGCCGGCGGCGTTGGTGTGCGCGGTGAAAACCGCGCGGGTAATGTTTAAATTCGAAACGCCGGTCGCCGCGGACTGGACATTTGACGCGTTGCCGTCGTATTGTCCGCGTTCCGTTTCGACGTCGGGGACGTGTGCTCGGAACGCGGCGCATTTTTTTTGTTCCGTTCCCCGGAGCGTGGGCGCCCGTACGTGTCGGTCAGAAGAGCACGGCGGCCGTTACGTTGGCGACGGGGCGCGGAGCCGCACTGTTCCCGCCGGTGTGCGGGAATACCGTTTCGTGATACGATCGCAATTGAATGTAGCTCGGGTGTTTCGGACATTTTAAGAAGAGAAAAACCGTTTAAATCCCGTGTCGTTCGCGCACGTTCCAATAATGACAGCACGCGATACTGTCTAATTTCGGGCGGGTACCTGTCCATCCGGCGGTAACGAAGCAACTCGACTCGCCCGCGCGATTTCACCTCGCGTCTTCTCCTCCGACGAAAAACGCAGCACGCAGCGAATGGTTTTTGCCGTTGCCCATTTCGTTTCGCGAAAACGCGCCCAACAGTATTGGCGTCTGACTGTCTAAGGCCCGTTTTGCGCTGCCCGTACGGGTAAACGGATATTCGATGGCGTGGTTTCGGGTTCGAAAATTAGATTTTAAAGTGTGGGAGGGCGGAGCAACGCCACAACGGCACCCGCGAGTAGGTGTGTGTACATTGGTTTTCCTATGCGCCCGTGTGGATCGTTTTTTTTTTTTTTTTTTAGGGCTATAGCCCCCCCCCCTCCCATCCCACAGGAAATCACAGGCAATTACATAATATTATTAAACTCGACACGTGTCGACGAGTGTCAATGTAGAAATGACATTTTAACGTACTAGGAGCGTAGCTAGGGATCTGCGGATTTTACTAAGACGTGGTGTTTTGTTTTTCGGGCCTATAAACAACCGTTTGACCAGAATCCCACTCCAACCGAACAACGGCAGGACACTAGGTAGACGCTGGTTTTGTTGGATTTTGTTGGATTTACTCGGTAAGTTGTTTATTTCCCAAAGGGTTTCCGACGCGATTCGAAAAAACCGAAAAACAAATTATCGGAAAAACTACAAATATTTACGGCGTTATCGATTTCATTGTTTTTGATTTTTTCAACCATAAATATCGATCCACGGCAAGAGACCTATATTAGTGAATTTTGTATCTCGTTGTTCACGAAGAAAGTCGTTTTTTTATTTCCCCTGTAGTTTTTTTTTTTTTAATAATTGAGCAATACAGAAAGAAAAAACGCGAAAGAACGGGAAAATTCACGAAAATAATACTTGTGTTATTTTCAATTTTGTTTTTTTTTTTGTTGCGATTCATTTACATTTGTACTTTGTGGTAATTTGAAATTTCGACAAAAAACTTACCTTTCTAGGCGTGATAAAATGTTCAAATTGTTCTGTTTATTATTATTATTTTTTTTTCGTATTTGGTACTGTGTAGACAAAATTGTTCGACTAAACAGAAATGTTTGACAATTTTACGGGACGTTCATTATGTGTCGTACTTGGTGATCAAATAAAATCTAGCGTAATGTAGTAATATTTTTTTTTTTTATAAAAGTTTTAATGTTCAAATTTTCACGAAAATTGTAAACAGTACGACGTTTCAAAACACGTAGTGTAATCGATTACTTCGCTCTAAATCGTTTTTCGTCGGCAATGATTTATCGCGTTGTACACGTCTTCCGTTTTCAAATTCCCTATAGTCGTTCTGTTTACGAACATTATGACGAAATCATTGTTGTCAATCGGCCTGTCGCGACGTCCAACACGCTCAATCATCTTCGAACGACGCGTAATCTAATCCCGCGTCGCCGCATACCATTAGCGACGTCGCGGTACGGTGCGATATTTTTAATTTACAATTTAATTTTTACAAATAGATTGCAGTAGAAAGAAAGATAAACCGACGGACATTTTCAGCCTAGTACATCATATAACCAAAAAGGAACGAAAACGGGTAAATAAAAACATTAAGTATTTCGAAGTCGATGCGCACCTACAGTGTAATTATTATGACCAGGGACCAGGATTTCTACGCATACGCATAAATGTGTTGGAATAAACTTTTCGAAATCCGACGGGCATTGTCCCCGATTTAGACCATTCTCATTGAAATAACACTCGTTTTGTTTTGCATATTTTGCATAATTCAACGTTTTCCCTTGTTAAATGCATATTGGTAATTTTATAGCGGATATTATTATTTATAGCACATGTAATCGTCGTTTTCCGTCGTATTTTCACGTGGCCGTAACCACATAATATCGATAAAATTTCAAAAGACCAATTTAAAATAGATTCAATAAATACAATTATAACGAAAAATTTCAACCGGTCGTTATTTCCATAGATAAGATTACACACTCATATCTCATACAGTCTTCTGATCATCCAATGCAATATGGGAAAATATGTCATAATTTATGACAAATCAAGTTTGTTTTTGTCCCGGTAATCGTCACGTTATGCATTACGTAAAGACATTGTTTTTGCGTTTTTACGTACCATCGACTTTGGCAATAGTTAGTGTTTTTCAAAAGTTGGTGTGACGATAATTAATTGTACAAATCTGGCGAGTTGCGTTTTCTCACGGAACGAGGTTCAGGCCAAAATTATTTTTCTGACATAGATGGCAGCACATAATACATGTTACATAGAACGGCGAAAACTTGAAAATATAATTAAATATTTAATCCACGATCTTATGATATGGTCTGACAATTATACCCTAACAGCGTTTCGTCTAGTAAGGTGAATTAATTTCCAAATTTTACCACTGTAAAATTAAGAGCTGTACTATCATGGATAATATCTTATATTATCTACCTACGTGGCATGTGCCCTACAGATTTTTTTTCGAAGTGATAGCATTATATATTTATACTAGTTTTAAACCACAGATATACAAACATACATTGTTGTTTAAAGTTATACCCGTGTTTAAAACACGTTTATAGATATCTATATCTATATTATTTTATATCGTCATGACAATCATAGATAACATTACGGTTATAGATATAAACCGTGATATCTGTTATGATTCCATCTATAACCACAGATATATGTATGTAAAAACTTGTTACGTATATGTATATATATTTATATCTGTGTCTATAACTGAGTATACATGGGTAGGACTTACCAACGTGGTTAAATTTAATTAAGGTATGGTATCATAAATGATAACGAAAACGCAATTCACCGACTACCGGCCGCCTGGCGGTTACCAAAATAACAATTCGGAAAATAAGATTATTCATTATTAGATATTTGATCATTAATTTATTCCCCTGAAAAATAACTTATTGTGATAAAAAAAAAAAAAAACAAAAAAAAGTATACAAATGTCTAATAGAAAAAATAAAACAAGTTTTAAAATAACAACAATTAATGAAAACAATCAGTTACATTGTTGGTGTTTAAATAAATTTAATTTGGTGTATTCAGATCTAATTTTTGATTGCTTATTCATTTTTTTTTATTTCGTGAAACATTATAATGTCCAAATATTCGTATACCACATTTTGCTTGTATTTTGTAACTAGGTATTAAAACAGTGGCAAATTAATAAGTAATTACAATAGTGAAAACAAATTGGCACAGTCAGATTGCGTGAATGAAATTAAATAAGTACCTACCCATACTAATGTATTAAACAATATGTAAATTAGTTTTTTTTTCATAATAAATTAAGTGTTTTCAGTAAAAGTAATAATTTATCAAAATTGTTTAAATAATCTATAGCTTGTATAAATTTAAAACCACGAACTATAGATTTTCAAATAGCACCTATTTATACACCAATACATTCAGAATTTAAAATAATCGAAATGTTAATATAATCTTAGTTAGATATATTTAAAAAAAAAATGCTTATATATGTTCTAATAATTAAAAATGTCCCAGGTATGCAAAATTTGATTTTGCATAGTCTAAAATCCAAATATGTGTATCATATTAGCTACTTTTTAATTTAATAAATAAAAATATGCTAATGCATATGACTCTGGACCCTAATTATCGTAAAAGTAGGTATTATACGTAAATCGAGCGAAAGTTAATTAGGAAATTATACGCACCAATTGCAGGTGTGTATTTTATACGTGACAACTCTGATTTTTAGTGATTTTTCGCGTTTAGTTGGTAATTGTATATATATATATATAAATCATTTTTTTTTGATTTTGATATTTGGTTTTTTTTTTCAAAAGTTTTTTAATGTAATAATCTAATATTTTTTTACTGCGCCTCTCTTTCGGTTAACGCAAAAAATTAGACACCTATAATCTATATAGCTACTCTAAAATATGTGAATGTTTCTGTTTTACGGTAACGGTGGCGCTGCACCATTCATACGGAAGTCTGTCGATTTTTTTGATTTGCACGCGACAAATGTTTTTGCGAAACGTGACTTAATAATATTCTGGTTTCGAGAAACGTAACCAATGTAGGTTATGAATTATAGGCGTCCGTAATAATATAATACGAATAATACGGTGTATTCTCATACGCGGACGGACAGAATAATGAAATAATATGCCTGGCCCACTGCAGTGCTTTCTCGCGCCAACGACAATAATTCGAAAGTAAATTTAACAAAAATTGTTTTTTATTATCGTGTTATGATATTATTTTTTTACTATTATTATTATTAATTTTTTAAAGTAAATAATATAAAGTATACTATAATGTGCACTTGTGTTTCGCGTTCCGCACGAACTCGTTCCCAAATTAATCTTTCGTGATGTGCGCGCTGCATATTGTCATTACGCTGCCAATGGGACCTATATAATACCATTTTTTTATGGGTACCTACAACAAAAAGGCGGACGTGTTGCACTTACACGTCATGTAGGC